GCTTGTCCTGTTCCCCCACCCCCACCCCTTCCCTTTCCCTCTCCCCAGCCCAGGAACGCGCGCCCGGGAGTTAATCTTTAATCTCTGACCTCTGGCGGCGGGGGCGGGGCGGGACTCCGGGGTGCCCGGGTGCGCGTCGCCTCTCCCGCGGGCCAGCGCCCGGGTCCGGCCCCCAACCCCACGCTCGGGCCTCTCTTTCTCCCGCCCCTAGGTGCCCTGTCGCAGGTACCCCCGGCTCGAGATGCGGTAGGAACGGCGAGCGCCAGAAGCCCTGTTCCTGGCGCCACCAACCTGTCGCCCAGCCCATGGCGACCCCCAGCCTGGGGCTGCTCTTGGCGCTTGGCCTGCCGCTGCTGCCGGCCCGCTGGGGCCGGGCCTGGGGGCAAAGTAGGTACTGGTGAGGGGTGCTGGGGGGGAGGGGTCCGGATTCCTGGGTCTCTGCTGGGGGCAGGGCTTAGAAGCGCTGGGTACCTGGGGCACAGTGGGGTTGAAGAATTGGGGCGTGGGCATGACATGCCTTGGGGAGGGGTCTACAGGTTCAAGGCTGGGGGTTTAGAATTTCTGTCTCCTTCTGGACAGTGGGAGCTGGTCTAAAGAGAACTGAGTTCCTGCGAGGGGTGGAATTGTGGGTTGGGGTGCCCGGCCCCACAGAAGGAGCTGCAGGGAGGGGAGACCTGTGTATCTGAGCATCGGTATAGTTGGGTTGTTTTGGGCAGACTGGGAGCCAGGAGGAGGCCGGCCTGGGGCCTCAAGCCCGGAATGACCAGGCTGGCTATAGGTGTGGACCTAGCCATTGAATCCTTCTAGTGCAGTTTCCGGAGCCTGGGGGGAGGTGTGACTCAGGCATTGGAGGGAAAGCAGGACCCGCCCAGATCCTTAAGGGCCCCTGGTAGGAGTGGTGAGGGGGGAGGGTTGGGCTTCCGGACACCATCTATTATAACAGCCCCCAACTCAGTGTAAACAACTGGTGGCTGATTACTCCCTGCTGGGCTCTGCTGGGCCTGGGGTGGCCAGAGGAGCAAACACAGGGGTTGGGGGGCAGTCCTGCCTGCAGAGCACCCATAGTCTCTATGCTAATGGAAGACTCAGGAGGGCACAGTTTTAAGTGGACCCTGCTGGGAAGTGGGGGTGGTGTGGGGGATGCCCAGGAAGATGCAGATAGGCTTAGATGGGAGGGGTGGATAGAGACTAATTTGTCCTCTTGACTCGGGCCCCAAAGCACAGGACCACTCTGTGAGTGAAAACAGCACCGCTATGCCCACCGACCCTGGCTCCAGTGGGGCCCTGGTGAGTTGGGGGTGTATGTGGGAAAAGGGTAGCAGGGATGCTATTCAGGGGTCCCACATATAGCAAATGGAGGGGACTAGAACCCCTCGCCGGAGGTGACGGGTCAGGGTGGCATTGGAGAGCCCCAAGTGGGAAAGACCAGAATATCAGTGGCAAACGGGGAGACCTAAGGTCCCAGACCAGGGAGATTAAGGGTCCTTGGAGTGGGGTGGACAAGAATACCATACATGGCAGGTAGCCCCATATATACCTCTCAGGTTGGGGGTGGGGGTGGGGAGCCCAGACCTGGTAGATGTGGTATGAACAGGAGTCCTAGATGTGACAGGTGCTTGTGAGGGGATCCCACACATAGCAGGTGGGGAGCCTTGGAACCCCAGACAATGTAGATGTGGATCCAGGAACCACCAGTAGGGGGACCTGATCACCAAAAGTGGCAGGAGTGTGTTCATGGGGGATGGGGGGGAAGGGGAGATGCTGCTTAGGTGGGGGTGGACAGGATCTCCAGACTCAGGTGAGTCACACCTGTCCCCTCTCTGCAGTCTCAGGAGGCCATTACTGCTATCATCGTGGTCTTCTCCATCCTGGCTGCCTTGCTTCTGGCTGTGGGGCTGGCACTGTTGGTGCGGAAACTTCGGGAGAAGCGGCAGACAGAGGGCACCTACCGGCCCAGCAGCGAGGAGCAGGTGGGTGCCCGCGTGCCACCACCCCCCAACCTCAAGTTGCCGCCGGAGGAGCGGCTCATCTGAACACTGGGGCCTGCTGCCACTGCCACCATTGCCCAGGACTGCCCGGTGCTCACTTGCACACAGCAGCCACCACCGAGACACCAGCCTCTGATGGCACAGGACGACTTGGGTGGCCGGGGGCACCTGCCTGGCAGGCTCTGTGCAGCATGCCGCCTCTGCTTGACTCTGCCTGCAACTGGGGGTGCCGGGGCGGGGGACCCACCTCCCGCTTGCCATACACCATCTTTGCTGTGCCGCGACAACCCCCTCTCCTTTCTTTCAGTTCTCCCACGCAGCCGAGGCCCGGGCCCCCCAGGACTCCAAGGAGACGGTGCGGGGCTGCCTGCCCATCTAGGTCCCCTTCCTTGCATCCGTCTCCCTTCCTTGATGTGTGACCTTAGGGGAAGGCAGAGCCCTCTCTGGGCAGTCAGACCCACCCACTGCTTAAGAATAGAATGGAAGAAGGTGATTTGAAGACTTTGCCCCTGAGAGCAAGGGAGGGTGGGGCTGCTCACTTTTTATATATTTATATAAAACTGGTAGTGAGATATAATAAAAGTTTTTGAGCTGGTGGAAGCATTAGCCTAGATGGAGGAGGCACATACAGAGATGAATGGTAAGGCTGTAATGGTCTTAGGGAATTGGGGAGCTTCCTGGAAAGGAGGGGCTTCTGGATGCACCTAAGAGTCAGTTGGAGGCTGCCCCTGGAGGGAGAGTGACAGAAGGGAGCAGACAGCCAGCCCCAGATAAACTCACCAGGAAAAACCAGCTTTGGGATCTCGTGGCTTTATTGAGGGACTGGAGTCTCCTCCAGACCCCTGATCCTTAACCCTCAAAATACTTCTTAAGATCAGGAACTCTTGGCCAGCTGCTAGCCTGGGGCTCTTGCCAATTGCTGGTGGGTGCAGCAGAGGATTTGGGGGCTCCTGGCTCTTCTAGGGACTGAAGGAGAATGTGCCCTGCTTGCAGGACCTCGGGAGGTTGAGCTCTTGGGTTCTCCAGAGAAATGGGGACCAAGGAAGAATCAAGGGGCTGGGACATCCAGGCAATATCAAATTTGGGGGCCAGAAGTTGGGGGCTTTCTGGAGGGCTGGGCTGGGTGGGCACTGTGGAGAGCCTAGAGCAGGGGCTCTCCTGGGTTCTAGAATCTTCTACTGCCTTGTGGGGAGGAGAGAGATGAAGAATTAAGGCCTCTGTGGGAGGAGAAGGTTCAGGGTCCCCTTGGCTGCTTGGGTCTGCAGAAGTTGTTGAAGACTGGAGAGATGGAGGGATGATTTCCTGGTCAGTCTCTGAGGGCAGCTGGAGATGGGGGTTCTTTGAAGAGCTTGTGACATCCAAAGACTGGGCAGTTTGCAGGGACAGCAGGTCCGCAGGCAGAGAAAGGGGCTGGGGCTCTGGCAGTTTCTCATCTCGTTGCCATCTCACTCTTCCTGGTATGTTGGGCTGGGTGGGGGTGGGGGGATAGCCAAGTTGCTGGCCTTTAGATGGGAGAGCAGCTGGCAAATTGGATGGATGGCCAATTAGGGGAGATGGGGGGGTGTCTCACCAGACTGAAGCAGCTGTCCAGGTCTCCTCTGTGACAGCAGTCTAAGCTCTGGCTTGGCCTCAGGCTGCCTATGTTCTTGGCTCCCATGCTCAGACTATCCAGAATCTCACTCAACAAATCCAGTTCCTCTCCAGACCCCAAGAAAGTGCTGTCCAGATCTTCTTCTGCCCATGGGCTCTGGGCATCCTCAGGGCTCAGAGGGGGTGTCCTGAGCAAGGATGGGCAGCCTCAGATATTTGCCTGAACCCAGTCCTGGTCAAGCTGCTTTAGAGTTTGGGGACCTTCCTCCCCATCAGTCCTGGCCTCCCACTTCCAACGTTGCCCTGCCCTTGGAGCCTTACCCCTCCCCTGGGGGCTCAGAAGTTTGCTCTTCCAGTCGGAGTCTCCTGTTGGGGCGAAGGGGCCGGTTCTGCAAAGGACAGATTTGGGGGTGGGGTAGATCAGGAGTGGCAGAATAAGGGGGCTGGTGCTTTCTGGAGAAGGATGAGTTTCAAGTGGGCACGAAATATTGAGGTAGGTGAGGAGGGAGGCGGGAGGTCTACATGGAGACTGGGAATGGGTGGAGAATTCGGTGATAATTCCAGGTGTGTGCAACTCCGGGTGTGTGCGTGGGGGAAAGGGGTGACATTACCTGTCCAAAGTGCTGGGAGATAGGCAGGCGCTGTTGCAGGCGATCTGAGCGGCTGGTGAGGGCTGGGATTCTCAGGGAGCCCCCCCTCTGGAGGCCAGAGTCCCCCTCCTAGGGAAAGGATGCATGAGCTGGTGGCCTCTCCCCAACTCCCACTGTTCAACACTGGCCATTGATTGGCCTTACCTTGTGTGTCAGCAGACTCTGCATGCCCTTCAAGCCACTCTTGGCCTATGGGGGAGACAAGGGATTATTAGACCCAAGGGTGATTGGACCCTGGGCTTTTGAGATCCCAGCCCTCTGTCCCCAAGGACAGCTGCTTCTTGCCATCTGTCCGTCTCTGTGTCTCAGAAATATGTTCACAACTCCCCCATACCACTTAAGACGTCAATACAAACTTTTCACCCCTTTGACTAATATAAGAGGAGTATTCCTGGGAGAAATAACCTTCAAATGAAATCGGGAGCGGCAAAGCAACGTTGTAAAGATGTCAGTGTCTCAAAGCTGAGTGAAGAATAAAATCGAATGGACAATTTTGAGGTGCCAAAGTTGGCACCAGTAAACTTTTGAGCTTGGCAGGAAAACAAAAAGCAAAATGAAGAAACAAGGGTAGAATTTGGGATTGTAGTGTATGAAAAGGGCAAAAGATATTCGCCAGTGAACTTGGTTGTCAATTTTAAGTAGGCAGGAAATAATTTGGACAAATATGAGAATAATAAATGGGAAATAAAAGTGGGAAGAATTGTTTAACTGCTGATTCAATTCTGATAAAAATGTTTGCACTTAAAATGTCTGTTGGGGTCAAAATGTCCCATCCCCGTGAGGGGTGGAATGTCCTCTGTCCCCTCCCCCTTGTCACCCAGCAAGTGCGGCTCATCCAGCCCAGCCTCACCGAGCGGTACATGTTCCTGACGGCCGGTTGAGTCTTGGCCTTGACCGAATGCAGGAGGGCACCACCACCTTTCTGGGGAGAGAAAACAATGCGGGGGGAGGCTTGGGTCCCTGGTGCTGCTGGACAATCCCCTCTCTGAGTCTCAATTTCCTCACCTCTATAAATGAGCATAATCATGACACTACCTGGGCACTGTTGTGGGATTAAATTAATCCGATAAGAAGGATTTAAGTGTTTGGTGGTGTTACCTTTAGGTTGTCTGCCCAGAGCTGGTAGGAGCGAAGGGTGCCTGGGGTGAGGAGAGATTCTCATGGTCATTGAAGGCAGGATTAGGCTGGGGTTGCTGGTAGGGTGGGGACGCGGGGACTCCAGGGCCAGGCTCGGGGCTCACCTGACGAAGTCCCACAGCAGGTGATCTCCTGCTCAAAGTGATCCGAGAAGCCCTCCCCCGTGTTGAGCTTCTCTAGTCGGGCTTCAATAAACTTGGGAGGGGGAAAGGGTCAGAAAGTCAGAAGCAAGGCGGCCACAGACACACCTGAATGTGCGGGTTCAGGAGTCTACCTGCCGTCAGGATGTAGCAGCCATCCTGGCCCCTGTAGGGGCCCACCCTAGGAACCAGAGATCCAACCCTCTCCCAGCCCCCCAAGCAGGACCTGTCCCCAGGCACCAAACCCGGCCACTCACAGGTACTCAGAAGTCTAACTCAGTAACCCTCCAGACAGACCCCCACCCCCTTTTAGCCTGGAGTGGAGTGGACCCCACGTTCAGGGACCTTGGGGTCCAGCCGACCTTCTCCCAGGATTCCCTAGAGATCTTGACCCGCCTCCGCCTCCAACCGGAAGGGTGTCCACAATCAGAACCTCCACCCCTGACCCAGGAAGATCCCCGCTCAGGGAACTGGAAATTTGTCCTATCCCAATCCCCTTCAGGGGACTTGGAGTAGGTCTTGTCCCTCAGGAACCCAGGAGTTGGGGGGCTCTCATCTTTAGGAACCCAGGGTTCAGTCCTGACTCGCCCACTTGGGGACCCGCCAGAGCGGCTCCAGCCCAGCCCACAAGACCCAGAAGTCCGCCCCAGCCTTGCCTTCTGGGATTCAAGAGTCCTCCTCTGCCCCACCCCTTGGTCCCCGCCCTCAGGGACTCAGGCGGCTGCTTCCAGCCCCGCCCCTCCACCCCGGCCCCGCCCTCAGGGTTCTGGCGCACCTGTTTGAACAGCTGCAGGTGCACGGCCCGCCGGTGGAAGGCCTGCAGGGGCGCCCCAGGCTTCTGGGCCAAGAAGGCTTCTTCATTGAAGGTTATGGGCTGGCCCTGGAAGAAAGACACACGTCCAGAGCTCCCTGCAGCGCTCCTGGCCCCCAGCCACCTCCCTCACTCTACCATAAATCGATTTGAGCTCCTGCTATGTGCCTGGCCCTGTGCAGGGCCTCGTGGGCCACGGGGAGGACTTGGGCTTTTACCCCGAGGGAGGTGGAAGCCCTGGGAAGGCTGTGAGCAGGGGAGGGACGTGACCTGACTCAGATGCTCACGGGTGACCTCGGGCTACTGCAGGAAGGACTATGGGGGACAAAGGCAGGAATCTGCTTGTAGCGGGGCGGGGGGGGGAGGGTGGCTGGGGGGAAGGGGAGGACACTGATCCCAGGTAAGCAACAACGAGAGCCAGACCAGGGTGGAGACGGGGAAAGGGGCAGAGGGGAGATTCCGGATGTGCTGTCAAGGCACAGCCAACATGAACATCACATGCTCAAGTGATACTGGTACCCGCCAGCGTTGTTGTAGAATGATTGTAAAAAACAGGGGGTGGGGAAAATGGGGGTGGGGTTTGAGAGTCAGCAAACCAAGGTCCTGGCTTCAACATCCACGCACTGCGGGACTTCTCCACGCCTTGCTTTCTTCATATGTGAAATGGGACGATAATAGTATCCATCTCATGATATTGTTGTGAGATTAAATGAGATAATAGTAATAGTAAAACCAAGCATTTACTGGGCACTTAATGTATGCCAGGCACTATTCAAAGTGTTTGAAATATGCCGATTCATTGGCTCACACGGCCCTTTTGGACGGTTACTGTTGGGGTCCCATTTTACAGATGAACTAACTGAGGCACAGAGTAAGGACTCCATAAATGCTAGCTATCACTATTATTGTGAATCCTGCAGGTACCCACGAGGCCTCTCCCTCAGCATCCCCGCTGCTCACCGGGCTGCAGACGAGAGCGTCGCGGTATCCCCCGAAGAGCAGAGCCTGGGCTTTGAGGAACAGACGGGAGACACCTTCCCCGGGGACCAGCGCGACCTTCCTTAGCCGCAGCCTCAGCAGGGACACCTGGAGGACAAGGGGGCGACTCTGAGTGTGCGGTTGCGGGGCCCCTGCCTTTCGGAACAGGAGGGTAGAAGGGGGTGACACTGACCACGTCTGGGGGCAGCGCCTGCACATCGTCGAAGGGCGTCTCTAATGTGTTTGAGTCCACGTTCATCACCACGACGTCCTCCAGGGCTTTGTCCCTCA